GCCCCAGTGACATCGTTGGCCAGCTCGTCGGAGGTGACCAGGCTCATCATCGAGTTGATCCAGGCTAACAGATCGCGGTAGTCGCTGAGGAAGCGCTGCAGATCGTACGAGTCTAGCAGCTTTTCCTTGCGGGCGGTCGACTTGGTGATGATCTGGTTCCACATCTCGTTGATCTCCTTCTGCTTGGCATAGGTCTGCTCAGCGGTGTCCGGATGCGACTGCATCAATCGGTTGGCGGTCTCGTCCAGCTGGCGGATCTTATCCCGTAGAGCAGCCAAATCGCGTTCCACACCTTCGTGCTTGCGCTGCAGTGTTTGAACACTGCGCAGATCCTTGCCCAAATCGTCGTTGTTCAGGGCATTTGCCTTCTCGGCAATCCAGTCCTTGGTCTCATCGATGTCGCGATGGAAACGCTGCACCTCGTGGGCGGAACCCAGCTGGCTGGCCTTCTCGGCGGTCAGCGTCTGCAGGTTGTTCCACTTCTCGTTGAGGTCCTGCATCTGCGTTTGGATCTTGAGGGCGGCCTCCGTCTGTCCCAGCGAAGTCAGCTGCACGGCAATCTCGTTCATGTTGGCCAAACGCACCTCGTTGGCCTTCAGGTCGTCGTTGAAGTCGTCGAACTTCTTCTGCAGCACCTCCACCTCCTCTAGGTCCTCGCCCACAACATCGGCGACCTGGGCATGGTTCTCCTTGTCCCGAATCCACTGGGCCAAGTCGGCAGCCTCGCGCACCAGCACATAGGCCTTAACCGTTTCGTTCAGCTTGTTCTGACGCTCGCGGGCGAGAGCCAGCAGATTATCGTACTGCGAGTTGATCTGGTTTTGGCGCTTGGCAATCGAATGGTTGTCCACCAGGTTCTGCTGCGAAGCGCTCAACCCAGCCTCGATCTTCTTGATGTAGGCAGCTGGGACGAAGCCCTGGCGATCGTTGACCTCCACCTTCCACCAGTCCTTGTTGTTCGAGTTAAGAAGGGTCAGCACATCGCCCTTCTTCATCGACACTTCACGCGGGGATTTCTCCGTGTAATCGTAGAGAGCCACCACACATTCCTTGCCGGTGATGTCCACCACAGGAGTCTCCTGCTGGCGACAGTTCTTGGCCTGCTCCTGCAGCGCCTGGATGGTGTTGCCAAAGGCCTCCAGATCGGAGACCAGAGCCTCGTGCTTCTTGAGCAGAGCCTCCGAGGAATCCTCGTCCTTGCCAAAGTCGCTGCCCGTGGCAATGGGCTCCTTTTCGCGCATCCACGACTCCGCCTCGTTGGCATCGGCAAAGTACTGGTGAGCTTGCAGCGAGTCGTCCAGATCCTGCTTGCGCTGGCTGGACTTCTCCTTCAGCGTGTTCCACTGCTCCTGCAGAGCCTCCAAACGCTGACGAATGTCGTCGCTGGCGAAGGGCTGATCCTTCAGCATGTTCTCGCCCGAACTGATCACATTCAGGAGCCTGGCTTCGTGGTTGTTGATCTCGGCTAGCACGGCCTGGTGCTTCTTGATCAAATTCTGCACACCAATCAAGTCGCGACCACGGTTGGTGGAGGCAGCAATGGGCTCCTTCTCGCGAATCCAGGCAGCCTCGTCCTCCAAGTCGCGGAAGAGCTGTTGCACCTGCAGCGAGTCCAGCAGATGCTGCTTCCTTTCGCCCATGGGAGCGGCCAGAGCGGCATAGCGAGCCGAGAGATTGCCCTCCTTGTTGCGGATGTTGTCCGCATCGAAGTGGCCCGATTCGATGAACTTGTTGGCCGCCACCTTGATGCTCTCAATGCGATCCTGATGGGCCATCACATCGGCCTCCAGCAGGGCGTGCTTCTTCTGCAGGTTCTGCACGGAGGTCAGATCCTTGCCATGATCCTCGGACAGCAGCTGCCCCTCGATCTCACTCAGCCAGAGTTCGATGTCTTCAATGGTACGATTGAACTGCTGCTGCTGGCAGGCCTCGTTCAGCTTGGTGCCCTTCTTGTCCGAGGCCTGAACAAGCGTCTCCCACAGCACCACGATCTCCTGCATGCGGGTGTTGATCTGGTCGGCGGCATAGTGCTGCTTCTCAATCAGCTCGGTGCCCACATTGGTGATGTCCTCGATGCGCGACTTGTTGGCATTAAGCTCGTGCTCGAAGTTCTGGTGCTTCTGCATCTTGCCGTTCAGATTGGTGGGATCCAGATAGCTGTCGTCCGTGGCGAACTTCAGCTTCTCGCTGATCCAGCCCTTGGTCTCGTCGCAGTCGCGCTCGAACTGCTGATAGCGGTTGGAGTCCTCCAGCAGCTGGCGACGCCGCGAGGACTTCTCCTGCAGGGCAGCTCGTCGGGCCAGGAGCATCTGGCGACGCTGGGCCACATCGTCGGCGGCATAGTGCTGGCCATCGATCAACTTGGTGGCAAAGATGTCCAGGGCCTTGATCTTCTCCTCCTGGGCGGCCAGACTCTTCTCGAAGTCCTCGTGCTTCTTGATCAGCGCCTCCACGGAGTCCAGGGAATCGCCCAGGTCCTCGTTGGCCAGGAAGGCCTCCTGCTTGGCCATCCAGGTGTCCGCCTGCTCCGTGTCGCGGTAGAACAGCTGCAGATCCATGCACTGCTCGTACAGGATGCGACGATCCTCCCACAGCGACAGCAGCGAGCTCTTGTCGTTCTCCAAGGCGGCCAGTTTCTCTTGGATCTCGGCGGCCGCGTAGTGCTCACGCTCCAGCAGCTTCTGTCCGGATTCGGTGGTCAGCTTGAAGCTGTCCTCGCGCGCATCGATCTCGCCCTTGTGCTCCTGATGGCGTTCCAGCAGAGCCTCGGCTCCAGCCACATCCTTGGCCAGCTCATCGGCCGAGATGATGGCCTTCATGCCATTAATCCAGGACACCAAATCACGGAAATCGGCGAGGAAACGGTGCAGATAGTACGATTCATCCAGCTTCTGCTTACGCTCGCGGGCCTTGGTGGTCAAACTCTGCCAATAGTTGGCAATCTCGGCCTGCTTGTCACGAATCTGATCACTGTGATCGGCGTGGATGGAGCACAGGCGCTGGGCCTCGGCTCCCAGGGTGGAAACCTTGTCCTCCAGGGCAGCCAAATCGCGCTCAACACCCTCGTGTTTGCGCTGCAACGCCTGGACACTGGCCAAGTCACGGCCATAGTCATCGGAGGACAGCACCACATCCTTTTCGGCAATCCAGGCCACAGTCTCGTCGGCATCGCGATTGAAACGCTGGATCTCGTGGGCCCCAAAGAGCTTCTCCTGGCGCACAATGGCCAACTGTTTGAGGCGCTGCCAAGCCTCGTTCAGTTCCTCCTTGCGCTTGGTGATCGTGTCACGCTCTGGATGACCATCCTGGACCAACTTGTCAGCCAGCTGATTGACCTCCGTCACACGGTACTCCTGCGAAGCCATGTCCTTCTGGAACTCATCGAACTTGCGTTGCAAAACCTCCACATGCTCCAGATCCTGACCAAACTCGTCGGCGGTGACGAAGGTCTCCTTGTCCTTGATCCAGAACATGACCTCCTCGCACTGGCGCAGGAACTGCACCAGAACGAGCGCCTGCTGCAGCTTCAGACCCTTCTCGGCCAGGCGGCTCAGGAGCAGCTCCCACAGCTTGTGCAGTTCGTCGAGGCGAATCTGGATCGATTCGGAGGCAAAGTGCTGCTGGTTGATCATCTCCTGGCCGGTGTTGTCCAGCGAAACGATGGCATTGCTATGTGCCGACACCTCCGCCTCGAAGGCCTGGTGCTTCTGGATCTTGGCCTGCAAGTTAGTGGGATCGCGGTAGCTCTCCTCGCTGGCAGCCTGCAGTTTCTCGTGGATCCATGACTCAAGCTCATCGGCATCGCGCTTGAAGTACTGAAAGCGGCGCGAGTCCTCGAGCTTTTCACGCTTCTGACGCGTCTCGATCTTGAAGTCATTGTAGCGGGACAGCACCTGCTCACGTCGCTCCTGGATGTCCTCGACTGTTTCGAGGATCTTCACCTCTTTGGGTGTGAAGTTCTCCATTTCGCTGTTTCGTTTACTTGTCTAATTTCTTGAGTTATTCGTTCGTTTTGATATTGTTAAGCTGTAAACATTTAATGCAATTAGTATTAAGTACATTTTTAATTAATTTTTTAGACTTTACCTTAAGCTGCTCTGGGCGCTGAATAAATTTAATTTAATACTGCTGCTGTTGCTTCCTCTTCATCAAATGTTTGACCGTGCACAACTGTAAAAGGAAATTGCGAGGGGGAATAATTAATTTAATTCGGTTTAATCAGCACAAACACAATTACAGTCAATTACTTAATCGTTTGGGTCATTCACAAGATGGAAAACAACACACATTCATGGAAGTAAATTAAAATCAGTAGCAGCTGGCAAATTACAAACATTACTATCTTTAATAGTATTTCTTCTCAACGTATTCTAAGAATAGAAATTTTATTTCATAATATTTTATTTCGCCATGACTTGGTTCATTTATTTATTTTTGTTGTCGGTTGCTGAAATTCGTCTTATCAAATGAGAAAGAGAGAAGAATAAACTTCTTACAACATTTTAACAAAGTTTTGATTTATCAAAATAGGGGAAATAAAGAAGAATAAATATATTCTTTAACATTCAACAACTTTTTTTTTGTGTTTTGTCTTTTAAACTTTAAAAACTGGTGAAATAAAATGATATGAAAAACTCTGTTGATAAATCCAATGGAACCCCATAGCATTCATACCAACCTTATTAAGTTAGTTAAATAAATTTAGACAGAATGTAAAAACTACACTGATAAACCAATTTTTAATTGGAGAGTGTTTAGTAATGATCGTAGAATTGTAAAATATATTTTCACTTCGTTGACGACTGTTCACATCGATGATCACATCGGTTGCCAACCTCGTCCCCTTTCAGTGGCCTCAGCGTTTGCACAGCATAACCGAACTAAAACTGCGAAAGTGACGCATTCCCTTGCTGATTAGGTTCCAACAGCTATCGCTATCTTATCGGCCACTTACTCAATAAACTTTGCCGCCCATTTCCGAGTTATTTTCAGCAGACAAATACAAAAAAAGAACGATTTATTCGAAACATAAACGTTACGGGTGACATAACCAACATTCTTGACTTAAAAACTATCCAAATCTCGCGATAAATCGGCCAGCATCTCCATGAAGAGTTGCGACTTGGCCTCGTCTTCGTGGCTTTCGCCGGAGCCATCGAGGCCTCCGGAATCCTTCCCGGCAAGGGAGAGTTGCTGCAGCAGGCTGGACAGGGTGCTCCAAACGTGGGGCGTCCAGTTTTCGGCGAAGAGCGGCATGAAGAGTTCGTTGAGCTGCTCGGCCCGCACCGCTCCCGACTCCAACATGCATCCCAGCAGCTTCTGCAGTAGTCGGAAGCTGTCCGGATTGTTGCCCAACTCCTCCACAAAACTAATGCTGAGCAGGCTCTCAAAGATTCCGGGTGAGGCCTCACTGGCCATAAACTGCGGCGATCGCCACACCGAACAGCTGGCTGAGATTACATCGTCGTCAAATAAATTCGGTTTTCTGTTAATGAGCAACTGGAGCAGATGTACCAAGCCGGAACCAATTAGGTGATAGAAAACAGTGGGCATTTGGGGTAATAGAACCGCCTGTTGGGATTGTCGTAGCAGCTCGCTGAGTTCTTCCCTACTGCCCACACTTTCCGGCCTCAAGCTGAGGCAGTGCATCCATTGCTGCAGCTGGAAGAGCAGCTCCGACAGGCTAAATCCCACATCAGGGCTGATTTGGAGCTCACTGGAACCGCCACCACCGGCAGCTGCGGCATCCGCCTTGTTTCGATTGGAGTGGCACACCTTGGTGGCCAGCTCCTGGAGATCACCATGGTAGAAGGTGGAGTGTAGCACACTGGATTGCAGCCACTGTTGCAGCTGCGTCTGAGCTTGAACTCGGATCAATTGAGCATATGTGGAGCACAGCACTAAATTAGTGCTGGCGGGCAGAAGGGCTTCCAAAGATTGACCTATGCGCCTGTCCAGCATCTGGGGTACCTGCTGTTTCCACAGTTGGCTGGCCTTCTCCCTGGCCTCTTGAAATATCTGCTGCAGCTTTTGATAAACCTCTTCTTGCTTCATGGAGCTAATCTCGTTCACCTTGGCATCCGCTGCAGCCTTTGAAGGGAGCAAAATCTCCTGCTGGGCATCCTTGACCACACACTTAAAGCTGCGCTCTGTGACAAACTCAATCAGTCTTCTGGTGGACGCATTCTGGGATTGCAGAAAGGCATCGGCCAACTTGCGCTGCTGCTGCTCCACGGGAGTCAACTCACTGGGAGCCATTGCCTCCTTGGAGGCGGCACTGCTACTCTGCTGCAGCTGCTCCAAGCGAGTGGTTATGTAGCGGAAGCGACCGCTCCTCGCCTGTCGCGAAGGCGTAATGCTCACCCGGAATTCTTGAAGGAAGGGACAAGCCACTGGCAAAAGTTCTTCCAACAAGGGGACGTAGGATTTCTCATTGCAACGCAGGCCACTCAGGCAGAGATCCACAATCGATGAAGTGGCCTCAAGTGCTCGGTGGCTGTAGTAGCCATTAACCAACTGGGGCTGGGCATCCAACAGCCAGCCAATGCAACTTCTGACTATGAAAACAGCCCCAGGTTGCAGTTTATCCACATGAATAGAGGCATACAATGCGTAGAGCAGCTCCAAGGTGGCCAATGAGTCTGGCAGATGCAGGGTGACCAAATCGAGCATCACCAGGTATTGCACCAGCCATGGCAGTGTAATCAGCAGCTTGCCTTGTCGCATGGAGCGTTCGAGAATCTCTCTGAGATTGAAATCCGGATGAAAGTGACTGCGAAGTTGCAACTGCTGTGGACAGAGAAACGGCGGCGATGGATTGCCATGCTGGGTGGTCCCACTGAAAGGCAAAACAGTCACATAGCCCAGAAACTTGGCCAGAATCAGCATGTTGGCCATGGTCTGGACGCGAACAATGTACGGTCCCTGCTGAACGGATTGCTCATCGGCACCAACATCTTCTGCCAGTTGGAGCAGATCAAAGGTGGAGTCGTTGTGGCGCATTAGCTGAAGGAAAAGAGCCAGTTTCAGATGCACCAGAAAGGCCACCGACGAACATCCGGCGATAAAGTCCCGGAAAAAGGCCTGCGAACGGGGAAACTGACCTTCCACACTTGAATTTGAGGTCACCAGGCGCTGGGCCAGTTTGTTGTGCCTGAGCGGATCCAGCTTTAAGCCCAGCTCTTCGGGAGATTCGGTGGTCTCGGTGGCGCAGATCAACAGCTGGCTGACAAACAATTTGGCAAAATGAGTCATATTAACCGGGTGCTCTGAAACCTTAAAGATCTCCCTAATGCGGGGCGTCAACTCGCTGGCAAAGTTGAAAACCCGATTTAGGTGGCCCACTTCCCATTGCTTCAGGGCTTTGTAAAAGAGATCTCGCTGGGTCTTAAAGGCTCCAAACTCATTCTGCGAGGGAAAGTTGTCCCGCGAATCTTTCTCCACATGATAGTAGACATTCTGCTGCGAGGAGGATGAGGTTTCCAGAGCAAACTCCTGTCGCTGCTGGCACGAAGCCTCCAGTTGTTTGACAATGCCGGCAGGCATAAGGCTTAATCTCTCGTTTTGAAGCAGCACCACCAAACTCCTTTTGTCCAGCTGCAGCAGTAACTTTTGCTGGTTCTCCAGCAGTTTCAAGACAAAGTAAACGCAGCTTTTGTACTGAGTGAGCCGCTCCAAAGGCATAGAAATATCTGATGTTTCTACGGGCTTTTGCCCAAAGTCTCGTATATTGAGCAACTGAAGCACAAAGATCAGCTCACTTAGCACATTGGGCACTAGATTCAGGTCAATCAAAAGGCTATAGATTGTGGATAGTAGCTGCAATTGATTGGTATCGCTCACATCCTCCAGATTTAAGATTTCTCCTGAAACTACTTCATCCTCTGGGCTTCTCTCCTGCTGCTGACTGACATTCACTGGAGCCTCGCTTTTGATCTCCTGCTTGTTCAGCAAAAGCGACTTGCGGGCCTCCATCTCCAGCGCTGCTCCTTGACTTCTATCAAAGATTTCGCTGCTCTGTGAGATTCGCCATAGATTGTTATCGTTGCTAAAGGAACTGGTGTCGCCAAAGGAGGAGCTTGCCGAAACATTCTTGCTGATGGTCATGGGTAGGACACGTCGCCGGGGCTTGGATTGTGGTGTACCCGCTCCAGAATGCAGCTGCTGGGGCGTGGTCTTCTTTTTGGATCGCTGCTGCTGGCTCTGGTTGGGCGTGGTGACTAGGAAATCGCCCAGGCAGAAGCTGTGACCTCCTCCTGCTGCTGCTGCTCCGCCTCCTCCTCCACTTCTGTTGGGCGTGCTGCAAAACTGACCACCACTAACTGGCGTGGATTTACGGCCCTGTCCAGTCTGTTGTCGAGCCGGTGTCGTTGTTGAAGTGGAGCTCACATTAAGACTGCGATTGAGAGATTCATTCAGCTGGTGCTGTTGCTGCTCCTCCAGTTCCTTGACCACATCGGCGGGCGGTGGCTTGTGCTGACGTATGGGGGTCAGCGAATGTACGGGTGTCTCCGAATTGCGGGTGTAGAAATATTGCTTTGTATTCTCACGCAGTGCAGCCAAGAAGTAAGCGGCAAAGTCCTCCAGACTGCAATGGTTATTTCCCTTGCCGCCCTTCTTAAAGTGGGCTATGAACTTCTGCTGCAGCTGGGGGCGTGGTACCTTCTCCAATTGCGCAAGCAGCTGCTGCAAATGCTTCTCTTCCGGCTTAGTCATTTCTATATCTCCTCGTTAAATGACTTCTCGGTGGGGCATGACCTGCTATGCTCTATTTTTTTTTTGCCTCAGCTCGAGCTATTTTTGACCTTTTCTCCCTCCTTCAATCTCTCTCTCCCTTTTTCTTGTTTTCCTGCAACGGAAGAGGAGAGAAGAGGGAAATGTTGGCTCGGCTTTTCTGGGTTTTCGTTTTTCAATTTATTTTTAGAATTGTTTGGATGGGTTGAAGTTGCAGGATTTGATTTGTTTTTTTTTTTCATATCGACATCACTTTGTTCACACACACTAAGCTAAATCAAATTAAACTGCACGAAAGACATTACGAGTTATCATAATTTAGACGGCGATGACATCATCACCTTTACTAAAAAGCTATAAGAATTGAAATATTGGTTAGGATAGAAAGGTTTAAGTTTAGTGGAAAAAGTCTGGATTAAAGGTATGCAAGAAATTTTCGTGAAGTTTGAAACCAATTATCTAAGAAGTTCACAGATAAGATAGGATAGGACCTCTAAGTATGGTAAGGTTCTAATAGTAAATATTTTTTCAACGCCTCAACTAAACATAAATACATTTATTTTTAGGTACAACTTTTATTTTATTTAATTTTAAGAGACGTGTTTTGTTTAAATTCAGATGACCGCTTAAACATAACAACGAAGCACAAAATATAAAATTTCTAGAGATTTATGTACACTCAATATCACATACCAATTAAGCAATTAAGATAAACTAATCTAAGGAATGTGTGGAATTTGAAACTAGATTCCTTATTATTTCGTAAAACTTTAAAATAACACAAAAAATCCTACGATCTTATAATAATAGAAGAATAATGAATTGTTTAAAAAAAACCCCATATCAAAACCAAATTGATCAATTACTTTTTAAAAATCTGAGAGAAGCCCGGAATATAAATTAATAAATATTAGGAAAAGGCTCTTAATAGAAGAGGTCAAAAGGCGGCAGACCGTGGGCAGTGACATCATTTTGGGCGAGGGTGGGTCAAACATGCAGACAAACAAACAAACAACACACATTCAAAATACATAATTTCACGCAGGAAATTGAAATAAATAAGAGAGAGGGAGATAGCAAGATACCAGGGCTTGGCAGCCATACAAAGTCGGCATACACACAAGAGGCAATTTAACTGTTTATCGCGGTGGCAAATAAAAACAACAACAGCTCCCCCACCTTAGAAAAGAGAGCGAGAGAAAACACACACATGAATAGAAAGAGAGAGAGACCGAAACATTAATTGAAGTGTCCATCAGAAAATAGCTGAGGATGACGTAATGCGTACGGTTTGGAATTATGAGCAATGAATGATGGCCAAAAAAATAAAATGATTGAATGACTTTTGCTTACAAGCTTGCAGGCGGTACTGCCTAAAATATCCTCTACAAACACAGGCCTTGAACAAAGTCAAGGACATTCCCCCAACCAAAACAGGTTTTGGCAAATGTAAGGCAAACAATTTACTTTTTTTATTTTTTTCTTTACTCGCACCTAAACTCTCTCGCAAACACAAACATGCAAAGAGAGAGCTTTCTCTCTGTCTCGCTTTCTCTCTGCTGAAGTTGCCGCACCACCACCTTACACACACACACACATAGAAATCTCTACTCCTGCATAACACACACATACATGCACAACTGGAGTACCAGATACTTTTCTTGAATTTGCAATTGGAATCCAGATTTTTTTTGGCAGAATATCAAAATTTGTATGACTAATTAAGCACTGGCATTGGTCTTTCTGCCTTTTGAACTATAGGCCAAAACTTTTCTCTCACTTTTACCCATGTTTAATTGGATTTTTGTGTCGCCTGTGAGGGTGTGGCGTTGACCCGAAAATTTTCACTTCACACGCAAACCGAATTTCAATTGCATTTTTAACCCAATTAACATAATTGTACGGTCGAAATAGTTGTAGCAACTTACACTCTGAAGGCAAATCGAATGGTTGACAGTTAATTTGTTAATTAAACTATTGATTTCCAGTAGTTTTTCGTAATTTTCACGGAGCGCCTAAATTTCACGGGAACCGCACGGTTAAGAGCACTTTTTCAATATGTCGGCCGATAGCGATGGCAGCTCGTTGCCTTATCGATATATCGGAACAATCCACTTGAGGTGCTCCGGTACTATTGAATTGAACTCAACTATTTAATAATAAGAGGGGCACTTCTTTATTTTTTAATATTTATTTTTTAAGTATTTAAAATAGCTCATATATTAATTAACTTTATGGAATATTTTTTGTTTCAAAATATTTTTAATTGAATTAAAATTATTATTATTATATTATTATTTATTAATTATGAATACTAAAAATGTATAACTGACTCATGTCTTTATTAAGTATTATATTATTATTTATTAATTATTATAAAGGTAATTCATACGAGACATGAGTCAGTTATACATTTTTGGTATTCATTTCGATACCTGTTCTTTGAATTTTTTTAGTTGAAAAATAATATACACAGGCAGAAACAAAAAATAGTTTGAAGCGAAAAATATTCCATGAAGTTAATTAATATATGAGCTATTTAAATATTTAAAACAACGCCTTTAAGTTAAAACAAAAATTTTTGGTTTTTCAATACATTTATTGCACACAATAACCTATCATTACGGCGAGTGAAATTTAGGTTATCTCATGTAAGCCCAAGGACGAATCAATCAATCAATTCAATCTTATTTTGCCCTATAAATAATAATATTTTCAAAACCAACTATGTTCAAAAATTTTATATGGTTTAGAATTAAAAGACAACGGAATTTCTTGGTTTAATACATTGGTAGTTGAAATTAGTTAGAATTAAAAGCAAATCATTTAAAAACAAACCTCGTGAACCTCGATTTTTGAGCTAACGGTAGTAACTATATTGGAGGGCAGCATTGATTTTTTTTTGTATTTAGTTTTCTTTAAAAATAAATTATTTAAAACATTTGACACGAGATAGTTCTTTTTATCGATTGTTGGTATTTTTTTCTAGTAGTCACGCGGTCACATTAATTTCCAGAGCAATCCAAAAAAAAAAGGAAGCGGCGGAAAAAGAACAAAAACCTGCAGCACTTACATTTAAAGAAAAATCGAAGCGAATAAACAGCAAAATGGTGGACTACAGCAAGTGGAAAAACATCGAGGTAAGTCCGCGCCAGAAGCTAGTCCATCGGCTACTGTGATTCCACCCGGTGATTCCTCACTTTAATTTTCAGATTTCGGACGACGAGGACGACACTCACCCGAACATTGACACGCCTTCCCTGTTCCGCTGGCGACACCAGGCTCGCGTGGAGCGCATGGCGGAGATGGACATGGAGAAAGACGAGCTCAAAAAGAAGCGCCAGAGCTTCCAGGCCCGGCTCATGGACGTCAAGGAGCGGATCTCCAAGAAGGACGGCAACGAGGAGGCTCTGAAGGTGGGTCACCAACTGCTCACTTGTTGCTAGACTGTCTTGGCTAGGAATTCTTGGTTGAAACAGAGAGAGATCCATGGTCCATTATGTCAATTGTCCGCAGTTCAAGTCATAATGACATTCTTCACTTGTTGATAGACAAAATTACCTGAAAACTTTTCATTCTTAAGAGGATCGTATGTGAAATACGAGACAGTCAAAGTTAGGAATTCCTAAAATAATCAGAAACATAATTCTTAGTAAAAGTCTTAATTCAGGTATAGCTTATGGTATTGTTGACTTGTTGATAGATTGCCTTAGTTGGAAATTCTTTAATCTTGAGGGCGTCAAAAGAAATATTCTATGTATTATTTATATACATATCAGTCTACCAATTCCTCTTATATGGCCCTATTTTATATTGTAACTTTTGTAAGTAAAGCTGAAAAGAATCAATTTTGGTTAACATTCTTAGACTATCTATCAATATAGAAATACATATTTATCATAATCTTTATAACCTAATAGCGATAGGAACAGCAAATTTATACTCATTTATAATTACTACTACCTATTAATCCCCCTCGCAGAAAGAGCTGGAGAAGATCGAGGCCGAGGGAAAGGAATTGGATCGCATCGAGAGCGAAATGATAAAGAAGGAGAAGAAGACGCCTTGGAACGTGGACACCATCAGTAAGCCCGGCTTCGAGAAGACCGTGATTAACAAGAAGGCTGGCCGTAAGCCAGACGAGAATCTCTCGGAGGAGGAGCGCGAGCAGCGCATGAAGCAGTTCGTCAAGGAGAACGAGAAGCTGTGCAAGCAATACGGCATGCTGAGGAAGTACGACGACTCCAAGCGATTCCTTCAGGAGCACCTGCAGCTGGTGGGCGAGGAGACGGCCAACTACCTGGTCATCTGGTCCATCAACCTGGAAATGGAGGAAAAGCACGAGCTGATGGCCCATGTGGCGCATCAGTGCATCTGCATGCAGTACATCCTGGAGTTGGCCAAACAGCTGGACGTGGATCCGCGTGCCTGCGTCAACTCCTTCTTCTCCAAAATCCAGCACTGTCAGCCCGAGTACAAGGCGCAGTTTGAGAGCGAAATTGAAGGTTTCAAGGGGCGCATCCAGAAGCGAGCGCAGGAGAAGATCCAGGAGGCGATAGCCCAGGCCGAGGAGGAGGAGCGCAAGGAGCGTCTCGGCCCCGGTGGCCTTGATCCAGCCGATGTCTTTGAATCCCTGCCTGATGTAAGATAAAGACATCCCTGATATATACTAAACTAACATTTGTTCGTTCTTTTTGATAGGAACTGAAGGCCTGTTTCGAATCCCGCGACGTGGAACTGCTGCAGAAGACCATCGCCGCCATGCCCGTGGACGTGGCCAAGCTGCACATGAAGCGTTGCGTGGACTCCGGCCTCTGGGTGCCCAATGCCGCTGACCTGGAGGGCGGCGACAAGAAGGACGACGACGACGACGACGAGGAGGAGGACTCAGAAAATGCCGCCGGCGGCAAGGAGAAGACCGACGATGCCAAGTCAGAGAGTGCGGCCAAGGAGGAGCCCATCTACACTGGCGTCAGCACCGAGGACGTTGACTGATCGCCGCTGCTTTTCCATCTACACCATAGCTCTAATCTTAATGTACTACTGTCCACATAATGCATATTTCATCCACAACCAGATCCCCGCGCGCGTCAGTTGAGTTTTTGTATATAATTTGAATAAAGTCAGCTAAATTCTCAGCAATCTGTCAAACTCAGTAAACACCACATTGTCAGTAATTAATATCGTTCGTTTATGTTCGAGCAGCCACAATGAATCGCCCGGAGCTGGACTACTATGCGGTGTTGGACCAGCCGAGGGGAGCCACCAAGGAGCAGATCACACTGGCCTATCGCCGCCTGGCCATTCGCCTCTGTCCGCATCGCGACAAGAAGGACGAGCAGGACTTTGTGCCGCTGGCCCAGGAGGGTCGTCTTACGCATCTCTCGCCCATGGGCGAGCCCAAGCAGTGGGCCTACATCAACATGGCCTTCGATGTGCTGGGCAACGATCTGTATAGGGCCATCTACGATCGGTTTGGCGAGGCCGGTCTCTTCGAGGGAGTAATGCTGCCGAATGGCTACTTTCCGCCATATCAATACGATGGCGACCACATGAGGGTCTATCAGGCGGTCTTTGGCAGCTACTCTCCCTATGCCAATGTGATCGATGCCATTGCCAATCCGCCCAGCTTGTATGCCACCAGGCAGCACGGGATTGGAGTGCGTACGAAGGACTCCAGCACGGAGAGAATAATTGAGCTCTCGTTGGAGGAAGTGCGCACTGGCTGTGTGAAGCTGATGAATGTGTGGCGCCAGGAGATCGTGGACGCCAAGGAGTCGCGGCTGGAGAAGCGCAAGCACACCCTAAAGCTGAACATTGCCCCGGGAACAACGGCGGGAACTCGCTTCTGCTTCAAGGAGGAGGGCGATCGCTATCCGGCCACCATTCCGGGTGACATTATCTTCATAACCGCCGATAAGGCTCATCCAAGTTTCGAGAGAAGGAACCAGCATGATCTGGTCTACAGACATGCCATTGACTTGTCTCAGGCCTTCACTGGCTTCACCTTCTTCATAGACACGCTGGATAGGCGCCGGTTGAAGGTGGTCATCTCGGACGTAGTGCAGCCGGGCTACACCAGGGTCATTCCCCTCGAGGGACTGCCCAAATGCCGAAACCTGGACGCAGTTACAGCCATCAAAGAGGCCAACAAAAAGGTGGAGCAGTTTGGGGATCTTATCATCGAATTTAATTGTATGTTTTCACTTTTTTGGGACTTAAATAGTTTGTTAGTGGTTTTCCCTTTAGATATTTTCCCCAAGTATTTGACGCCACGTATGAAACAAATGACTCGAGAGTTTTTCCGTGAATTCCGCAAGCTGGAAATTGAGCTGGAGGAGGAGGAGGAACGGCAAATGGCTAAATAAAAGTCTTTTTATTGTTATTCCCCATTTAGAACACTTACAATTTGGAGTACCTCACAAATAAATTCAAATTTCGCGTTCAAATTTAGGTCTTAATTGATTGGACATAGGGAATTCAATGTTTTCTGTATTTATATACTAGGAACAAAAGGGCTTCAATGTTTCATTTACTTTAACGTTAACAACTTTTTAAAAGGAAACAAATGTGAATGAAATGTAAAAAGTAAAAAAAAGTTAATTCGAATTTAACGGTAAAATTTAAATTTACAAGACAAGTTGGCAGCCCCTGTGAAAGAAAAATCGATTATTTATCGATGAAGCAATCAAGGTCGTTAACGTATGTCAACTCTGGCCAACAGCTGTCCAGCGAAAAAAGAAAATGCATTTGAAAGATAAAAGAGATAATTAAAAATCAATTGCACAGCAAGTGGCCACCGAAAATAGAGCAAAAGAAGGGGAACACCTCGCCTCATCCATTGGGTGCAGTAACTGATCCGGAGCTGCTCCACTTCGAGTGCAAATCCGATTACCACGAAAGTGTGCCAACGCCACAACGCCCCCACCCAAAAAGTTCGTATAGAAACGCCAGCAGCGGAAGTGGAACCACGCTCCACTGGTCACTGGAAGACACACACAAACTGCCACAAGATGCACCTCAGCGCGGACATTTCCAGCGCCCTGCAGCAAATCGAGGCTGTGAAGAAAGGCATCGACGAGTCCGATGACCCCAAACTGCAAATGCAGACGGCCGAGAGCCTCAACACCATTCTTGGCATCCTGCAGGACCCCGTCTTCCGCACCATCGTCCACGTGCAGGACTCGCTCTCCGAGCTCAATGCCCAGCTGGCCCAGCACCCGTCCATGTTGCCCAACGACTTCGACATAGATGTGGCCGGCAATCTTGTGCTCAGCCTGAATGGCGGCGAGGTGATGTACGACTTTGATGACCAGCGCTCCTTGCACTCCCATTCCTCGCCCGGCGGAAGTCCAGACAAGTCAGGCGAGGAGCCGCGTCCGCAGAGCCAGAACTCCAAGGGAGCTGCTGGCCTGGCCGATCTGTATGCCACGGACTACGCCCAAATCCAGGCCATAGAACTGGTTAACGATGGCACCGGGCTGGGATTCGGCATCATTGGAGCTCGCAACTCGGGCGTGATTGTGAAGACCATTCTGCCCGGTGGCGTGGCCGATAGAGATGGACGCCTACGCTCGGGGGATCACATCCTGCAGATTGGAGACGTCAACCTGCACGAAATGGTCTCCGAACAGGTGGCCGCCGTGCTCAGGCAGTCTGGAACGCACGTCCGTCTGGTGGTGGCCCGTCCCGTCGAGCAGAATCTGCCCACGCCCCAGTACGCCCTGGAACCCGGCACTGCTGTAGTGCCCACGCGCGTTTTGGTCGATCCCGCCGAGCTGGAGCGGTACCTTATCTCCACCGGCTATCCGGAGATCTTTGGCGAGAGCTCCACGGCCTCCACGCCGCAGACCACCACGGAGGATGATCGCTTTGTGTATCGCGGTGAGACCTCCATGCTGATTGACCCCAACATCGACCTCGAGGAACTGCTGGCTCTGCCCGAGACGGAGAAGCTGCAGGTGGAGCTGAAGAAGGACGCCAACGGTCTGGGCATCACCATTGCCGGCTATGTTTGCGAGAAGGAGGAGTTGTCGGGCATTTTCGTGAAGAGTGTCTCGCCGGGATCGGCGGCGGACCTGAGTGGCCGCATCCGAGTCAACGATCGCATCATCGAAGTGGACGGCCAGTCGCTGCAGGGCTACTCCAATCACCAGGCCGTTGAGCTGCTAAAGAAATCCGGTCAGGTGGTAAATCTCCGCCTGGAACGCTACCTGCGTGGACCTAAGTTCGAGCAGCTGCAGCAGGCAATCGCTGCCAACGACAAGCTTCCATCCAGCGCTCCTGGAACGCCTTCAAGGGCTCCCCTGCCCACGCCAGTGGCCACCACATCCTCGGCCACCACAACGCCATCGCGCAGCATAACCCGTGAGCTGGAAGAGGAGGCACTACCGGCGCCGGAAGCCTTTATGACCACTCCGCCGTCGGTTACCACAATGACCACCACCACACTGAGCTCCTTTGGAGCGGGCAAACAATTGGTGGCAGTACGGGATTCTCTGGATGGCTCCACGAAGATCATACCCACGGAAGTTGTTCCCCTGGCGGATAAATCAGAGGTGAGTGATGAGAAACTCATTGCCAAGGCAATCTAATCGAGAAACCCCTTTTTCCCAGGCCAAAAACAGCGGTGTGATCACGCGTCACAAGTATTACACCGATCCCGAGCTCTCCGACGATGCGGAGACCGAGATCATTCGCAAGTGGCAGAAGATTGTGGGCCCTGATGTGGAGGTGATTGTGGCCCAGATCAAGAAGTTCGCCGTTGGCGGTTTGGGCATCTCTTTGGAGGGCACCGTGGATGTGGAGGGCGGACGGGAAGTGCGACCGCACCACTATATACGCTCCATTTTGCCCGACGGACCCGTTGGTGTTAATGGAGTACTCCGCTCTGGAGACGAACTGCTGGAGGTGAACGGCGAGCGATTGCTAGGCATGAACCACCTGGAGGTGGTGGCCATTCTCAAGGAACTGCCGCTGGATGTGCGCATGGTATGCGGCCGCAACAGGAACACCTCGCTGCTGCCCTTCTCCGATGACACCCTCAAAAAACTGAGCAACAACTTTGAGAACCTGCTGCCCGCCACCGATCGTCTGGTGAAGGCCAAGTCGGATGGAAGTCTGGCCACCGCTGGCTCCGTTGGTGATTGCGATTCAGTGGCTGCTGCCGCCGCCTCCTTTAGCAAGCTCAAGTCGCGTTCCCTGGAGCCGCTGACCGGGCTGGCCATGTGGTCATCCCAACCGCAAATCATCGAACTGGTGAAAGGCGATCGTGGCCTTGGCTTCTCCATACTGGACTATCAAGATCCGCTGGATCCCAATGACACACTGATTGTTATCCGTTCTTTGGTGCCCGGCGGAGTGGCTCAATTGGATGGACGCCTTATTCCCGGCGATCGTTTGCTGTTCGTTAACTCCATCAATCTGGAGAACGCCTCGCTGGACCAGGCTGTGCAGGCCTTGAAGGGTGCCTCCAAGGGAGTGGTGCGCATTGGAGTGGCCAAACCGCTGCCCATGACGGACAACTCGCTGAAGGCCTGCAGCAATGCGAGCACCACCAGCGAGGAGACCCTCGATGCGCAGCCATCGCCACCAGCCTTACCCACAGCTGCACCGCCTTCGATGCCGCCCACTGCCTCCAAGGGAGCCGAACCGGATCTGATTCCCGACTGGCGAAACTAGGATAGGATACGAAAGGATGAATCGAAACATTCCAGGCAGCTGAATCTTTAACGCTGTTTCTTTATACTGGCAAACTTGGTGGCATCGGAATTCTTCTTTAAATCAAAAGAATACTTATGTTCTCTTTGCTACTATTCCGATTCCTCCAATTTTGCTAGGCTATACAGGATACAGGACCGATTGTTATTACCGAATCAAAATGTTATGCATATTATTAAGCACCGAATTGTGTTTGTCTCCCAGAAAACGCGCATTCCACACAGCATGCAATATCGAAAACCCCCTAGTATTAGCAAATGAATTTTAACATGGTATTTCCAGAGTGTATGTACTTAAACTAAATTAAATAATTTCCTTCCGTACGATCAATGAGTATCACTTGGGAATGGCTGAGCTGTGGGTTATTGCACTCGGTTTAGTTGTCGCTCGATCCGCATGTAGTTCCGCCTGGATAGGATTCGATCCCGCGCGTAGCTAACCAGGTAGCTCAGTAATCCAATGACCAAACAGAGGACTTCGAATTTCAGGAAGTTCATTTGCTCGATGAGTGCCACCCGGTCGCAACTCCTGGTCACTATTTCGCCACTTTGGCAGCGCAGCACCTCCTTGTAGTGCGTGTGGATGCAGACGCCCAGGCTCCGGCTGACTATGTCGAATTCCGAGCACGGGTGACACTCCTGCACCACATGGTACTTCTCGTTGCGCCAGCACGTCGAGTTGTCCTCGATGACGAACTGTGGCTCCCGGCGGCGAGGTCCTTCGGCCGCATATCGCGATTCCACGAAGAGGACCAGGATGGTGACCATCGTCAGTGCTCCCAGTCCAAGGAGCATATGATGCCGTTGGCAGTTCTCAAGCATTTTAGAGGCGGGTAAGTGGCTCTCTTTTCGTATTAAGTTATCCTATAAAATCTGGGATTAATTGGTGCTTAAATTTTTGGAATTCTGGCTGGGATTACTTTGATTCCTTTTGTTTTGGTTTGTTTTCTTTTAGATATCTGAGTCACAGTGTGACCGCAGCTGTGTCTTTAAAAAATACTAAAAATATTCAGTTCCAAGAGCTGTCCTCGGAACTAGTTTGTCCAATTCCTAATATTCGTTGGTTTGTAGAGAGGTGACCCAAAACTGTACCCTAGAGCCCATGACTTTGTAAATTTTAAGCTGATTTGATAATGGCATACCTTTAAAAAGCTTGTTATACCTATTAAAAAAATTGGTTGTTGATCATTACCACCAAAAATCTTTTAAATAGGTACAGTTTCTGAGCTGTTTCTTTGTTAGCTAGTTCAAAACTGTTCTTTTAAAATACAAAACATGAATACCCACGTATTAAAGAGGTACATCTCTAAGAGTGTATAGATCGCGTCGCCATTATTTTACATTTTAATATGGATGTAACTATATATGTATAGTTGAATAGTTGAATATAGTAAATCTGGCTGAAGCTTAAACACAAGATGTGTGTGAAATGTACAAGAATAGGTTACCATAATTAATTTTTAATTATTTATTTAATCTTAAGACTATATATGACTAACAATATTCGGAAAGGAAATTGCGAATAATTGAGATTAAAATAACGTATTTTGTCACTAGCCATTTTTCATGTTTCGGTAGCTATAATATTAACTAGTTTCGTTGTAGTTCGCGGAACTAGCAGGGGTGTGACCAGACTGCCGCTGCCCAGCGAACTAGTTCCCTGTTTACGAACAAGAATGGACGGAGACCAAAACAATTACGGACGATAGGCACAAAGCGGACGTGAGAAATCTGTGAAAATTTTTGTAGTAAATCGCGTGTGGTGTGGGCGCATTTAAAAATGGTGCTGCGATCGGGGATTATAATTCCGTTTCAGTTTCGCGACACAAAGAAGCTGCTGATGATCGGAGTGCCCGAGGAGAACCGTAACCTGAACATATGGGACCTGAAGAACGTGGGTAAGCGCAGTGGTGGAAGGGGGCAGGGGGCTGCACCCAAATGGAGCCCCTCCAAAATGAAAAGGTGTCTCAAACCATTGGAACACAATTAATGTATATATCCCAACCATCCACAGTTCGCGCCGCCTTTGGGATCTACAACTTTGAGTTCCGGAACAAGAAGATCGGCTTTAATATTCCGGACGAACTGTTGCTGCACTATTTGGCTCAAAGGCACGACCTCACCAACTTCGTTATAGAGATCAGTCAAGGTAAATAGCGTTTAAGTTACACTCGGCTAAGTCGCGTTTTGAATTAGCGTTTAAGCGTTTGTGATTGACTGTTTGGAATTCCGGAGTTTCGTAGCTCATTTCTTAGATCCATTGTGTGCTCTTCGCTTGTAAGTCTCTGCGATTGCCATCTGTAATAAAACCCAAATTGTAAAATGCTCCATCTTGCAGCTCTGGATGACAATCACGCCAAGGAGCTGCTCTCCTACGAGCCCTCCTGCTCGATGGCGGCCCTGAAGCAGCAGCAGCAGCACCTGCATCCCCATCCGCACCAGCATCAGCACCAGCACCAGCACATCCATGTCCCACTGCCGCAGCGGTCCAACGAAAGTGCCTCGCACCATGCCCACGAATATGTGCCCGGTTCGCAGCCCAATTCCCCGGCGCTGGGCATGAGCAGCGCCGAGGGTGTGGACTCGCCGCTGGAGCAGCAGGGCAACAATTCCGGATCGGAACCAACGGACAATAGCCACAAACTGCGCCTGGGTCCGGCCTACTCGGAACGGACACCCGAATCGCTGACCCAGTCCATCGATCCCATGGACATCATACCCAAGGCGGAGTCCGAGTCGGAGGTGGAGCGTCTGCAGCGTGCCTCCAGGTTTCTGGCCCGCCAGGAGCAGCAGCAGCATGCCCAGGCCCAACAGCAGCAGCAGCAGCATCAGCAGCAGCAGCTGTTGCCGGGTCAGCAGATCTTCCCCAGCTACACGCACCCTTTGCCACCGATGAACGCGCCCAATCCCAGCCAACAGTCGCCCTATACGCCGGGTCTTATGAGTCGTTTTAGAAGTGAGAAGTGGTCTTTGCTCCCGCGCGCCTTGTCCTTACCTAATTCGCTAAATCTTTTCTTTAAGAACGTGGCGAGCGCATGTCCAAGGACCAAAAAGAGCTGTATGTCAAGTTTTTCGAAGATAATCCCTGCATGCTGTCGAACCATCGACGCCACGATGGCCTCACCGAACCGCTGTGGGCCAAACTGGCCCACATGCTGAACAGTGTGCCCCAGGGAGCTGTGAAGAATGTGGAGGACTGGAAGCAGACCTTCGATGCCTGGCGCTATCGCATCTTCATGTACACGCGCTACAATTCCAAGCTGAGCATGTCGGAGACCAGCGATCCGAAGAACTTTAAGCCACTGACAGCCACCGATCAGAAAGCATACGCCATGTGGACCAGCCACAAGCACATAGCGCCGCAGGATTATGAGAAAATGGACATGTTTGTGCCGCTGGACGAGACCACCACCACAACGAACAGCTACGACTACTGAATCCGGGATCAAAGTGCAAAAGATAAAACTGTTAATTTGTACTTTAACTAGTGCTAAGCGAGAAATACAATATGATTTAAGAGAAAGAAATTGCGTTTGACATGTTCTTCAAGATTAGTTTTAAGATATATTCTGTATCAGAAGGCTATGTTTACTTACTAGATAATGTATTTGTGTTATTGCAGTGTACGATGTGGCCATGGACACCTATGTGCTGAACCGCCAGTGCCGATGTGCGGACCCGAAAATGCTCAACGACTCGCCGACGCCCGAGGAGCCCACCAATCTGTGCCAGCCTAGTAGCAATGTCTTAGAGTCCGCCCCCACACCGCTGATGACTTTGCCCGCCTGCGAGGATGAGGAGCACGATCATGAGCACGAGCACGAGCATGAGGAGAGCATGAAGTACCGGATCGATAAGGCCAGCAGTGGAGCTGCCTCCGTGGACTTGGGCATGCCCGCCTACGAGGCCTGCTCGCCCAAAATGGACTATGACACGCAGGATGAGCTGCCCGATTCGCCGCATTCGCAGCCGCTTCCACCACCGCCTTTGCCTTTGTCTGCGGCCCTGCCACTCCCGCCGCCGCCCACCTCGCATCCCCAGCAGCATCTGCAGCAGCAGCAGCAACAACACGAGGAGCAGCAACAGCAACTCTTGCAGGAGCGCATCCAGCATGAGTACATGATCCAGCAGCAGCAGCAACATCAACATTTGCAACAGCAGCACCAGCATTTGGCCCTCCTGCAGCAGCAGCAGCACGAACACCAGCAACAGCAGCAGCAACAACATCCGCAGCAGCAACATGGAGTCAACATGGCCATGGGCACGACCACCACAAATAACATTCGACGTAAGTGATCCTCGTAAACATTATACTACCCATAAAATTAGTGACTCGCTAAAGACTTAACAGGCACTTGTTGGGTGTTGAAAAGTCTTAAAAATAACAATTACCCAACTAATAAAGCTCTGCGATTAGGGTTTTTTATTTGTACATCTCTGACAGTATGAAATATTGCTTTTCATATAGTATTTGCAAGTCCGTTTTATACACACATTCGATTTGTCTGGTAGTTGTGTTTAATGTATTAAAATTGATGTGTATATAAAGGTCTTGAAAATAGTCATTATCTAACAAATAAAGTTCTTAGCTTAGGGCTTGATATTTTTACAACTTGCTCAACAGTTTAGGGAATTCACTTTTTTTCATTTTTTTTTACACATATTAAGTAGCGATTTCATATTAAAACTATTAGTGCTTTAAATGTGATGAGAGTTTAGAGTCATTGAATTTTTAATAAATTCTTTAAAAATTACTAAAGAAATTTTAATAAATTCATAAAATAAATGTTTTCTACACATAATAAAATAATTTTGTTTTTCGATTAAAGCAGAAAATACTTAAAACATGCAATCACAAAACCCATAAATAAGCAAATGTCTTTAAATTCGGTTTACGAACACCATTTAAGCGCATTCCAACATTATCAAATGTATAATATTTGCATTAATTTGATCATACATCTGAATAAATTGCTTAAAATGTTTTTAACTGACTGCCATGAACAACAATGATGTTAATTAAGCTCCAACCGTTTTTTTTCTTTTTTTGGCCACAGAACGCAAGGAGCGCATGTCCAAGCGGCAGAAGGAGCTGTATGTGCACTTCCTCCAGCAGCATCAGTTCATCAACGATCATCGACGCAACGATCCCGTGCTGGATCCCTACTGGCTAAAGCTGGCCAATCTACTGAATGCAGTGCCTCAGGGAGCCGTGAAGCATGTGACCGAGTGGAAGCAGACATTCGACAATTGGCGGTACCGGATATTCCTCTATGCGCGATACAACTCCAAGTTGCAGGACGAGGAGGCCCAGAATCCGCGCAACTTCAAGCCCCTGACACGCACCGACAAGCAGGCTTATATCATGTGGATCCGGAATCCGGATACAGCGCCCCCCGATCTGGACAAGATGCGCAACGTCTTCTGCAATCTGGAGGAGACGGTGGTGCAGCAGGAATAATAGATTCGGAAATTGCCATCATTGTCCTAGTTTTGTAACATTTTCAACACTTTCTTTGTCTTCTTTTTAAAAATGGTTTTTATCGTGCGTCGTAAATGTGTGTCGCTGTCGTTTTTTCCTGTTTTGGAAATGCATTTTCCTTTTAGTTTTTTGTCATGTTGTTATGCTTATACATATATGAATATTAAACATTTGTTTTTTTGAATGAATCGACGCTAATTTTAGTCGCGATTATATTTAGACGCCAGCCGAGCAGTTCGTTTGCCCCAGCTGTGGTGTTTTGCATACGGTGTGTATAGCCACAATGAACTTTAATGCTGAACAGGTTATATGGAATTAATAATAAGTGCGTGGTTCTGTTCAACCCGCAGTTTCTGGCAAGGATATCGAATTCGACATCGGTTTTGGCCTTGATTGATAGAGTTGTTTTCTGTCTGACTCTATGACAAACTCCTTTCAGAACCAGCTCTACGTATATATCACCATCTACCATTGACACCCACACCCGTTTCGTCTACAGATGCTGATTAATTTGCTGCCCGAGGCGGTACAGCATCCAGTGTGTGGCTTGTACTTGTCGCTAATCCCCGGCCATTAATTATTCGTTCAATCATATCCGATACACCAATACTCGATACTCGGATACCCAATCGACTCTTGACAGCTTCTCGTGGGGATTATTTTTATTATTGACAAATCCCGATAATAATTCCTTCTTTTGCCAATCTGTGAAATTAGTTCCAGTGTTTCTTGAACCTGAACCTGAAACTGAAATTGAAAAAGGGAGCCCCACCGATTAGCATATTGTTAATTAAAAAGAAATTGCTTGGGTTCGGCACGACATTGTCTGTAGTAAAATACATTTTATTCCTCCGATTAAATGGCAATTTATCATAAATTATTACACTTAATTGTGTGCAAATGTAAAGTGCTGCGCCGCGACCATTTAGAAATCTTGTTTTATTGGTACAAGAAAATGTGTGTTACATAAATAACTAACTTAAATGAGCGTATCAACTGGGGAGATATTACAAATGATACTGACACCCCCTGTGGAACTCTCCATTCGCCTTTTGTCTGTTATCTGCAGCGTTTCCAATTGCCATTCCTAATAAAGATAAATGAACGCGCACTCATTCCGACCGACTCCGATTCCCTCCACTTCAAAACGCTCCGTTTCGAAGGCATTGAGTTGGGTTATTGGCTGTGACTTTTTTCGCCCGATTGCCCCCGCTATCGGAGCTGTTCTGGCATATGGCTACATGCGAAAAAATATCATCATTTTTGGAATGACACATGGAACGACTATAAAAATTAAACAAAAATTTAATAACTCAAAGTCCCTGTACCTCAAAACAAACTTATTTATTTATGAAAAGTAAAAAAACATAAGTTGACTAAAAAAATATATAAAATATATATAATTTTTCGAATTATTAATTTGGATTATTATGTTCCTACTTATTATTCTGCTTATTTAAAAACAATAAATCCATAAAACGCATTAAATTAGTCTGACACAGTTATGTGTGACTTATTTTTGAAAAGGATATTATAAAATCAGTTACAAGTTGATTGAGCATGCAGGAGTGTTAAGCTAATCTTTCAGCTTTAAAGCTATCTAAATTAATAATGGTACAGATCGGGACGTTATGTGATATAGTTCTTAACTTAAGATAGCCCAAGTTTGTTTCCTTTATTGTTATACAAAACTTACAATAATTTTCTGTATCTAACATTCTCTTAAGGTATGATTGCTAATATAAACGATCGAATAATTCTTCATATATATATATATTGAAAATGCATCGGAGAATCATTACATTCAACACATTTTCATTTAAATCAAAATATAGTCGATTTGTAAATTACTTGCTCTTTATAACATTTTGAAGTGTATATAAACTTTGGTTTGCCGAATTAAGCTCTTGATTTTGTTAATATTGCTAGTTAATTGAAACCATTTCTAATTCGATTTTAAAGAAACTTGTCCTTATTTTTTCCGGTACACCTTTTATCTGCTGCGTCAGTCAGGCGTTCAATATCAATATTTCAGCATTCAGCATTTGCATTTGAGAATTCGTAGGCCGACGTCTAGGTGGCATTCGTTAGATGTGCCCGAGAGTATGAATTATGACAGGTGGGGGAAAACAATGCGAAACTTGGTGGCTGCCACACGGATCGGTTCATGTTTAATTCATCTGAGTCTGTGACTGCATATGGATGTGGATATGTGGATGTGGCTGTGGATGTGGATATGGGGCACAGGGTAACCGGGTAGCTGGTCAGAGATCTGCTGTCGATAGCCGTTGACAGATTAATTCGAAGTTGCGAGTCCAGAAACCAGAAATATGAGCCGTGTCTTAAGAACTGGGTGGAGTTGGGCTGGGCCGCCAAGATAACAGCTCGGTTCCTAACCCAGTTTCCGCCTAATCCACTCCAATGTCCAGTACTAAACGTACAAAAAATTACCATATATTAGCCGCTCACTTTCAATAGTAATTTATCAAAATTAAAATTATCACATCAGATTAGTTTCGGCTGGCAAAATTCTCCCACACTCTCACTAAATAAAAAAAATTTGCTGTAAAAGACCAGCAGCAGTTTAGTCCCGAAAAAAATAGTCAACAAAAAACTGAAAACTTCATCAGATCAATCATAAAGACATAAAAAATGCTGTAAAAACGATAAAAACCATAAAAGCGATAATAATCTTTTGAAATACCTGTTTTGCCCAGCAATGATCAGTGGAGACCAAAGACAGTTACACAGCCCAACCACCAACACCGCCCCAACTGCACCGCACACTTTACAAAACCAAGATATACACTGAAAAAAAATGTTGGTAGTGTTTGTAAACGATTTTAAATTAAACATGAGGAACATGATAAATATTGTATATATAACATAAGGTCTATATTTTGATTTTAAATTAACCTAATATAAATAAAACTTTTTAAATATAGATATGGGTAAACGTTTTTAAATGAAAAAAATAACGTTATTAATTTAATTAAGTAAATAAGAGATACATACATGTAAAATCAGTTTAAAATTATATGGTTTAAATGTATGTTTCAGTTGGAAAAATAAATGATTAATACTAAATATTTAAACACAACGTATGTATGTATATATTTTGATTATCTATGATTATTTATATATAATGCCTTTTAAAATTATGCTAATAAAAATAAAAATGTACAACAGTAGGTAACCATAGGTAAAAAATAGAAAAAAAATAGTTAATTTAATTAGTAATATCTAGTAAATAAATTAAATCCTTTACTCGCTTTAAATGTGGGCGGTTTGCTATTTATTTATTTAATATGGTATGATAAGTTGTTCTTTAGTATCACACCTATAATGAGAAAATTTCTTTCTGTACACCTTGCCATATCATACCAAAGGCAACTTGTCAGACCAAAGTGATCTTAGCAGACATTTCTGTTGATTTACTATTCGAACTTAAACACACAGACACACACATAATTGGAAAAACTTGTGTATGCTAATCATCGATAGGCGAGCTGATTGATATGGCTTTTTAATTGCATTTACAATTTAATTGACCTGAACTATCTTGCCGCAAAAGGCAGAGCCAAAATCACCCAGAATTACTTAGCATAATTTTAGTTCCCAACGAGGAAACAGATCTTCCATTAAGCGACACATTGTGTGTGCTGTGAACCCATAAAATTAAATTAAATAAATGCGAGAACACGAGTGTTTTGCATTGACATAAGGCAATCGATAATTAATAACGAGTGTTGGTCTGCGGCTCATTAACTTGGCCAGCCAATAAAATCAAACGCGGTTGACATCCAATCAAATTGATGGGGACAACCACTTGGCAGTTGTGGGGGCTCTCAAGTGTTTAATGAAAGAAATTAAAATACGTCAGCCTTCAGCTCATGCGTAAAGAGCTCAGCCGCCTCGGAGTCTATATCCGATTTCAATGTCGCTCACGTAATCGCTCTCTGTAATGCCACTCAATTGTGGTTCAGTGTGGCTCGCTGTGCACACACATGTGTGTTGTGTGTGTTATCACTCGGTGATTTGTTGAAAGAGGTCAGGGATGCCCCACACCCCACACATTACATTAGGCCTACCAGTAAAAGGTCTACCAGTCCAAACACAAGTAAAACTTTTACTAACCAAGTAGGAACCGACTTACCCCTAAAACTTATACATGTTTAAATTTATTGAGTTGCATAAAACTGTATAAATTTAATGTGAATACTAATTGTAAACAAAATCACGTGCACCATTTGGATTCCCCACATCAGTTTTTCAAATATAAAACTAACCGACTTCATAAATAAAACAATATTTTAATAAATTCTTCATCCTTTTGAACAAGTATCTTTCTTAAAATTATTTAAAAATATTTTTGTTTTACTACACATGTAAATGTTACTCACAATTTTGTCAGCACTGTATAATAATAAATAAATAAAAAGATAAAAGTATTTGCTGTCAAATAGCTTTAATTTGGAAACCTACCCATACACAAGCAACTCAATTAAACCTTTCTAAATTAATGTTTATTAACGTTTATTTAAATAATTCATTAACACATTATTTATAAAAATACATTTATTGTATTTATACATTATAATTGAATTACTTGAATTACAATTAGTAAAAATATCAAATACATCTGAGAGCGGTCTGAAATTAGCATTACTTAACTTATTAAGTATTTCTAAGTTAAACAAATCATTAATAATGAATTATGAGATACAGCAAAATATTTGTTCAGACTAATTGGCAGCATATACGATTCAAAAACAAATGTTGGGTCATTAAAATGAAAAACGGAAATGTAATAAATTACCCGGGCTTAATTTTTTAAACATGTTTCTGAATATTAAACTGTTTTCGAATATTTACAATATGAATACTATCCAATATAATCAATCTGCAAGGCAAACACTAAATGGAATAATTAATACTTGAATATTTATTTTGATGAATAGCAAAAATGTAAGCCTTAATCAACATGTCAACTTTTAATATCTAATTTAAAGCAATTAAATGTTGTGATGACTTTACAAATTTAATATTTTTCAGTGATTTAAATGTGTTAATATTCTCATTCAAAAATTATTTTAGTTATTTAATTAGGTTAAGTAAATATTATTTGTACTATCGTTTCTTAGTAATTAGATGAATGCAATTGAAAAATTAAATGAAGTATTTTACTCAATATATATCAGTTCAAATTGTTTTGAATAACTTAATAATATGAATAAAATGTTTATAAAGTTTTGGAATTTAAATTAAATTGCATTGAAAAAGATAAGTAAATTAACTTGTTTTTTTGTTTCCTATTAGAGTTACTAATCTTTTGGATGAAATTTAAGTATTAACTTAATGTTTTAAAAGTTAAACTCATTATATAATAACTTTAAAATGTTTATTTATTTCAGAATTCTAAGAATTCAAGTGATTATCAACAAAAACCACAGCCTGAGCGACATCAAAATTAAATTAGAAGACTTTATTTGTTATATTATATTTAGGTTAAACGCACTCATTAATAACGACAATATATATTTACTTATTCTTGTTATTGTTGCACTTCATAGCAACATGTTTTCAAGAATCCAATGCCGGAAATGGCCCTAGCAACATGTTGTTCAATGGGCCACATATGAAAACTGGCTGGCAAAAAAATAAAATGAGAAAAGCACAAATGAAAAATAGAAAAACAAAGCGAAAAACAGCCGAAGTCGTAGTTCGGGCTCGTGCTCGCACTCGGCTGCTTTTTTTTTCAAAGTTCGGGCCTGGCTTGAAGCCGTCTGGCTGATTCGCAAACCAGCTGATGAGGCCGACAAATCGGGAGACGGAGACTTTGTGCTGATGCTACCACATTCGCTGCTTTCAGTGCGGCCCGTGTCTTCAATGAGTTTTGTCACGCTTTAGCGCAAAAACACAGCGGTACGATATCGAGATCGAGATCCCTACGCCACCAGATATATACTATATATATCCTTCAGACAACCATCATCGACAGCAGTTAGCAGCAAAGTATGTGTGTAGTGATGAGGCAAACATGCTAAAATATTACTGTGTTGTGAAGTTCTCTCCTTCGATAAGTGCAAGAAACAAATAAAAATAAGAAACAACAATAACAATAAAAATAAAGATAAAAAGGAGCATTAAAAAAAAACAAAAGACTTGGGCAACGAACTTGCGTGCTGCAATGCAGACAATTTATAGCCTGCAGGCTATACTCCAAACTGCGCGCAGCTGCTGTCGCAGGCGTGTTAAATTTATGCAAATAAATAAATCAATTCCACCGAAGATAAATAAAATTGAAGGCGTTCCGCCGTTTTGCACGCACCAAACACTTTAAGGCATTTGTCAAAATACCCCCCAAAAAAACAACAAAATACAATAAAATGCATAACCAATCTAGAGAAAAATCTTTTTTTCCGAGCTGCCATAAATTAAACCTCGCCCCTGACTTTTCTCTGCAGCTAAAAACTAAAATAAACTAAATGGAAGGGAAAAAACTTATGGCCTGCCTCTTTTAAATGCAACAACTTGGAAATGATTTTTTGAACAGGCCGTACATATATTATTATTATTATTATTGTTATTATTATCATGAGCAGCCAACTCACAATTTAGCATAGCTTTTTCCGTTTAATGTGCCGGAAATGTTTTCTCAGTGCTGCGGATAATTGTGGGCACTTGAAGTGGGGTGTTGCCAGTGATTATAAAACCTTGTTAATCTAAGCAAATTGGTTTCGCATTGTGTCAAGATCAGAGTTGAAGCATCTCTGTCGGCTCTATTAAAGTTAAATGCTTAATTTATGCAGTTCCTTAAATTGACTTAAGGTCACCTGATCTGCGGGCTTGTTACAGCCGAAAACGGGTTTGCTACGCTAGTGATTCTATGACCTCCAGTGCGTATTTTGACGCCTGAAAGTTAAGAGTCCGTCTAAACATAGTCACGTTCCGACTGTTAGCCGTGACATGGGCCGGCTTTTTGGACAGAAAGTATAGTACATATACTGGCACGCCTTCTTCCTCGAATATTTACGATATGGCAAATGGCTGGGACCAAGACGGCACTTAAAATGCGTGGCATGTGGCTCGCATTTGGCTCCACTTTGCGACACTGTGTGGCCAAAAAAAACAGAGACCAAAAGCGAACCCGCCATGCCACGCCACGCCAAAGGCAATTGAAAATTAACCGTACCTTAGATTTTTCGCGAAAAATGGTAAATGGTCATTTAAATTGGTTTTAATGTTTACGCATGCGCGACAGATCGTGCGCTATAGCTATATAGTATACACCCCCTCGGAGAGTACAAAATACCATCTTATCAGGTCTGCCATGTGTGGAACGAATCTCGAGTCTTAAATCTCGAATCTCGAACTAGATCTCCGCCAGAAAGCCAAAATGCTGCACTGGCAAATTGAGACGCCAAAAGTCATCGTCATCACGGAGACACAATCACAAACACAATCACCATTCACTAGGGTCCAACTAAGTAAGGGGATTGCATAATGAGTGGCCGCCATTACATTTGGTATTTTCCTTAAATCTGATTTGATATTGTCCCACCGCCACACGTCATTCGATATGCCAGAGTCGTCTACAATTGCACCAGGCATCAGATTATATAGCCTATACACCTCGTTAATGGAAGTGATTTCTGTTTTCTGATTTGAGGTTGACCAGTTGACCAGCTAAAATAAATTAATAACAAAACTATATGTAGAGGACAGGCGAACAACTTTCTGTGCTAAAATTGTTATGCAAACGTCAAGTGCAAACTTCAAATAAAGTGATTGTAGTTAAATCTTAAATGTCACCTTTCAATAATTCAACTAATATTTTTGCAGTTAAACGACTTAGAAGTATCGGGTTTCACATTCGACCATATCAAATCACAAAATGGTAAGTACTATAATAATTTTTTATTGATTATAATTTTTTAAGACGATTTCCGTGCCGTAATTGAGTTCAAACACGTGTAGCCAAACGCCAAACGATTGCCTCGTGTTTTCTTGGGGTAATCAATGCCCAAGTATTTATGCATTTCTCGATTTTTGAGTTTGCTCTCACATAATTTTTGAAATAATTACATCCCAAGCACGATCATCCAATGAAATTGACACACACTCTTAGCAACTGCATAAATTTCGCATCAACGCATGAGCAATACCAGGCATTCGTGTCAATGGACCTTGCCTTATAAGATGGCAAAAATAAATATAATATATTTTATTTAAATATATTACAAATTTTGAGTATGAGATGTTTTTTAAATAAAATGGAATTTATCAAACACATTGTTAATGATTAAGATTATTTAAACAGCTTTAAAACTAACAATTATTGGCTTATCATTCTATTAAAAAACTCTTTGAAAATGTGTTTAAGAATGTTTAATCCCAAAATATTTTGCAAACAGTGAACAATAATACACAATGTTCTTTGGAAATGTTTGACAAAGTATTTAATTCGGGAATTCACTTTAAATTAGCTTATAATAAATTTTTGTGCACATTCACTCTTCTTGTTCTGTTATATATAAATATTATTCTCTTAAACAACAACAACCAAATATCAAATTTACCAGCTTTTGCCAGTGGTTCCCAGAGCTTACTATTCCTTTTCACTTCTTATTAAATAAATATAAAACAAGGTAATCTGATAATAGCGGATTCCCATAACCTGTGCTGCACACCGCCAAGGGCAAACCACATTAAACCACTCTTTCTGTACAGAGATACTGAACGATACAGAAATTGCAGTTGACAAAGGCATTGACCCACAATTGCCCATGTGAGTGCGGTTGAATGTCGATTCTTATTTATTCCGTACGCATTGTTCTGTGGCAAGTTTGTTTTCCGACTCTTATTTGTACATTTATTAAGCTGCTGGGTTGAAGTCTCACCGGAAATAAAAAAACACTCTGCTCGTCTGAGTGAAATCAGCGTCATTAATTGTCAAAATACGCAAGGCAAAAAAAAAACAATATTTGTGCAACATCATTTAAGTAATTAACGTGTTCGATTATTTTTATAATTCTGTTTTTGTTTTGGTGATTTGCCACAGACAAAGAGCCCGCAGCCGAAAGCATAATCATATTAATATGCAATTTGTTAATTTAAATGACTTCCTTAAACGAACGAAGAGATGGAGATGCTCAAATTGATGTTGCACGATCTTGTGTTTCAAATTAAATATTTAAATAATCGTCCAACACCTGATAAAAGGGCGTGCAATTTTTCAGTTACCATTTTACATTGTGATTCAAATTGTGGGGTAGTGCTATTGACAAATCATATAGCATTGACTTAATGCTGATTTTATGCAAAAATCGAACAAAGCACAAATTGTACAAATTAACGGCCGATTTTGGGTTTGTTTACAAAACAATCAAATGCAAGTTTAGCCACGCTCCCGAAATCATTTTAAACGCTAACGGTAGCACATTGACCTCATGAAAAAAAAAAAACACACAGCAAACCTATTGTCTTGACCATAACTATGGCCCATTGTTTTGGGCTGCGATTTGATTCGATTCGATACGAAACGATACGATTTGATTTGATTCGTTTCGATTTATTTATTTTTCCCCATTTTCACAACATTCCTGGCTAAAAGTTCAAGACACTTAACTGCCTGACAGGCATTAACTTTTCAGTTCGTAACCGTTGATTAGGCAGTTGCGTTGAGATTTATGATTAGCGCCCGGGTTATTCGGGCCACTAACTAACCACCAAGACAACTTGAAAAACTGAAAAAACCGAGAGACGCATTAAGTGCCCTACTCAAAATGCAAGTTATTACGTCTCGAAGGTTTTTGTATTTTTCCACAATTTTTCTTTGCGAAATGTGGCCGCCCAAAATGCCAAAAATTCAATGAGCCTCTCTGCTATCGAGATGAAGTCAATCAACTGGCCTGCTGGAAACCAGAAACTGGCAGTCGAATTGGCAAAAATCGTTTTGCCCTCCGGCCTTCCCTGGGACATATTTATGGAGATGTAGATCTCCTCTAGCCTTTAAAATCTGGCAGCAGCCCCTATTGGAATGTCCAGAATGAATGACTTTGCTGAAAAATTTGGGGAGATCTCCCGGTGATACCATTGTCCAAATTGGCCACACTTTGAAGTTGAGCGAACTTTAACATTCATTGGTTTTTTACATAATTTAATTTCGGCCTAAAATATTATTCAGATATAAGAAAAACCATAAAATATTATTGAAATATAAGAATTTTAACAATTATTACGAGCATTACTTTTAAATAATACCTCAAAAGAAATGACTCATATGAGAAATCCTTCAAAAACTCTTAATTTAGTTCAGTAGCCGTGTTTATCTGAATATTTGATGTATTGCGCAACCCTCGCGATGCTGCTGCCTCAGCTTCTGTAACCGCTTCTCAAGTCATTTATTGAATTTATTCGCGGGCAAAGTACGAGTATTTAATTTGCCAATTTTTTTGTGTTAATTAAAAGCCAGCCACGCCCCTTGCATGTTGTGTCCGAGCGGGTGAAATCAGCAAATTCAGCATCTCAGCATCTCTGAAAAGTACTGAAAAAGGTCAAGTTTGCTTTGCTCTGGGAACAATTCCGTTGGCAAACAATGCCTGTCGTGTAAATAGAATCCACCTACACATCATGGTCATGCTGGCGATCTACGCAAAAAGTCATCATAAATATTTAGAGAAAAACAAGAAATTGTGCTTATGAAAAGATTTGAAATTTCATTAACCCCATTGATCACTTTATACAAAAAAAAAAACAACAACAAAATGCGCATTTTGGCAGCGTAATTGAAATCAACATGATGTCTACTTATTTATTAAGATTCTGTGATTACTTTTTTTCTGCCCATTTTTTGTTTGCTCCCCTGATTGACTCCCACGTCTGGTTTGCTTATAAATTTTATTTGGGTATTCGATTTGCCAATTATTTTTTTTTTTGGCCATCGATTATTGTTTATTATTCTTTTGTTATGGATATGGACTTGACTTGGGCTGAACTTCTCTGAAATCTGAAATAGCATGGGAACAGTGTGGCAATTAATCAAAGTGCATAATCATATTGCTTTTCTTGCCAACTATTTGTTTGCCTGGGAAAGTATGCAAATGCGCAGATTTCATTAATGAGAAATCTTTGCCTAATAAATTTGAGTTTCGCATGGGAGACTTGGATATTTAAAAGGGAGAGAAAGCTTTGCGGTTTATTCCTTTGTATGTATCACATTTAAATCTGTCAATATCGAAGCACACTTTGTTCCACTTTAAAATATTTAAAAATCACTTTAGCTCTTCAGTTTGTAAACCGATACTAGACATTCTAAATTTCGAAACTAGAAACACTTGGGGTAGCCTCAACTCAAATGCGTCAGTCAGTCAGGCACCTTCACCAAAACCCAAGACAAATCGATGCCAATCACCTATCATAACTCAAGACACATCTGCCACCGAACAGACAGATCAAAGAGGCTGCTGTGCCGATCTCCCAGCACAAGGTTATGGCGAAATATCGCTTGAATTGCACTCAAGAAAAATATCATTTCCTGAGAAGTACTGCAAAGACTCATCTAAAATATTATAGTTTTTAAAACTCTAATGTCTCCTCTTAAAGATAGTTGTTCATTCTTATTAAAATATTCAAAAGTTATAATGCATAATTAAATACATTTTTAATTACAATTAGATTTCAAAGGTAAGCTTTAAAATGGCACACAAAAAGTTGGAGTCATAAATTGTTATAAGATGTAAACCCTTTATTTTAACCTTCTAGGACTTGATTAAATAAAATGTCTAAAATTTATAATTACAAAAATTTATTTATAAATAGTGACCTTAATTAAAAGCAAATCTAAACACCAGATAAACTTCAACTTAAAATTTAACTCTTTAAGTTGGGATCGAATTTCTTAATTAAATCATTAATTGTGATCTAATACTTGTTTATTTCAAATAGAGTATATAACGAATAAATTTTGCATACAAATAAATATATAGTGACTTAAACTTAAACTCAGAGTTAAGGAGTATATCTCCTTAAAATCCCAAATATTTCTTGCTGTGTCGACTTCTGACTGATGAGGAAGCTTTGAATTGAATATTATTTTCGGTACTTCACCTCTATTTTGTGTTTGCACACCCGGGTACATTGTGAACACTGTGTGGCAATGCACTGAAAACCGAATCTAATAGCTCGAACAAATGCCTAAGCTGGCAGAAACATAGAAATGGAAACGAGTTTGCGCTGTGACAAACGAGCGCAGCCAAAAATTAAATCGAACCTTTAGCCACGAAATAATTATTTTGCTAGCGTTTGGCTAGCCCCCTAATGCGCTTTTGAGGGTATCAAGGGGGTGTTATGGAGGGGAGTGTTTGCTCTCCGATTTATCAAGGTTACTTTGCTTAATTGATGGATGGCTAGCGGCTGCCATTGCATTGAACGAGCGACAATTTGCCAGGCCTTGAACTTCTGCTCTGATGAAGATGGATATGTGCCTGGAAAAACAAGAACTCAACTAAGCACTTAAAACTGAAACTGAAACTGAGTCTCATTCCAAACTTGAATCGCAGGCTAGGCCAGTGGTTTATATGCAAATGAGTACGCGTTGTAAAAAATAAATAAAATGGTACACTAATTACGTGACACGCTTCGGCTGTTCAACATCGGGCAGATGAAGTCATTCTTAAACCCTTTATTTATGATTCTCGACTTGGAAATGAAGGTCAGTTCAGATGGCCTGGCCACCTTAGAGTGGACCCAGTTCACTGATCTGCCGGATGTCTTCTCGCGTTCTGCACCAGAAGCCATTAAGATGTAAATTTAATGATCACCTACGGCGCGAAAACTGGCAGACAGATTTATGGATGATATTTTTTCACTTTTACGCTGGGCAGATCACACCTACAA